CGAGCATTAGCCCTTCATCAGAGCTCCAATGAAGGGCTAACGCTCGAAACGTCAGCTTTTGTAATTGTTACGGTGGCCAATTTATCATTTCAACTTTGTTGATATATCCAAAGTATATATGTGTACTTTGCTATTAATTGAAGTCTTTGGCCCTTCATTTATTTATTTATTTATTTTTGACTGACAGGTTAACAGAGCTCTCCGGGCAAGTTTTAACAACCCAGACAGAGCTGTGGAATACTTGATGAGTGTAAGTATGTTCTTCTGGAGACATATCTTCATTTTAGGAAACCTGTAGCTAATTGATCTCACCAGCTCGAATTCAAGTTTTTCTTCAGTTCCTTTTGGTTTCTTTGATGTGGTATCTAGATTTCATTACTTGTTAATGGACAGTAGTTCTTGAACTGTGACTTGAGTGTGTATTGTGAGGGTATGGAAGTCTTCAAATATAAGAAGCAAGTGACATGTCGCTTTCTTATTAGACTGGTACAAATATATAAATCTGACAATGATCACACTTCCTGCTACACGCAGGGAAGATAAAACACTTCAGGTCATAGGTAATTGTTGAAACTGCAAAAATGCAAATGGTAACATAAATCTGTCTAGAATTACAGTTTGACAATTGAATTTACCTGAAAAATGAACTCTGACTGACCTACCAGTCTCCACACAAACATTGGCTACCTGTGGGCCAGGGAAAAAATGTAAATATTTCTCAAAGAAAAGTAGAATAAAATATTGTTTTGTATCTGTCAAATTTATGCAAGTCATTCACCTCAGTGGTGTACCATGTGAACCAGATAGTTTGACTTTATCTTGAAAATCTTTTAAGCATTTACTCAACGATAAATTTGTTATTTTGTGACATGTGAAGGGTATACCAGAAATAACCCAGGCCCAAGAACAAGATGAACAACAAGAAGAGGGTGGAGGTGATGCACCAGCCTCTGGAGGTAAAGAATTATAATGGTGATGATAAAGATGATAATTATGATGAGTTTGATATCAATATTAATATTATTGATGAGGGAGCCATCTCATCAAAGAAGTTCTCAGTATGAATGCAGCTCATTTAATCAGTAGTACTTGTATGGGATAGAGTTACAAAATAACTGAGCATTCCAGATTATTAAGCAAATTCTCTGCCATGGATGTAGAGGGAATCACATGTACATTGTACTGATACATTTAAATGTGAGAGAAACGTGAGCCATATACTCTTTAACTGTGTGCTACATGTACAGCAGGTTGAATTGTGATAAGCATCTTGTATACTTAGAGGATTACATGCAGCTTTGGTAATGTCTCCCTGCTGTGTAAAAGAGAAAGAAAAATTAAAGAAAAATAGTCACCAATTATGTTGAAAGTTGTGACATTTTTTTTTTTTACAAAAAAGTACCAGTATCTGGAACTTCCTGTGCTCATTCTGAATTTCATAGTTTGAGACAACAGGTTTAACAAAACCCACAGTTATGAACAATTTTTACTTCACATGGGACAAGCAAATCCACAACTCCTTGAGATCAGAATTTGTTGAACATCAATATATTTTCTATACAAAAGGTAACCTGGAGTTTCTGCGCTCACACCCTGCATTCCTTAACTTGAGACAGCAAGTTCAACAGAACCCTCAATCATTAACACTTTTACTGCAGCAAATGGGACAAGCAAACCCACAACTCCTTCAGGTAAGTAGCTGTATTTAGGGTGGGGTCAAGACATGAACCCAACAGATAAATGCTGATTCTATGTGAGAAATTATAAACAGCCATAAGATGTACTTCTATTGTCTTTGTGGTCACAGCATTAAATTACAAGCTCTACAGTTATTAGCTTTCTTAGGTATATATACCACATAACTTGGTATTTTGTTATAAACAGTACTTTGTGAAAGATTAATTTTAAGGTTGTAGCAAAAGAGTCTGTAATATATCTTCCTATTGCAGCTCATAAGCCAAAATCAAGAGGAGTTCATAGGTATGTTAAACAGCCCTGATATTGGTCCAGCCCCTGTCGTGGGCTCACAGCCACTGCAGCCTGGCTCAGGAGGTGAACAGGACTTGGGAGCACCACCAGCTGATGCAGGCTATGTTAGTGTTACACCACAGGAAAAAGAAGCCATCGAGAGGGTAAGTGTTGTATGATTGTTGTATCTCTCTATTCTTGCTTCTCTTGTGACCTGCACTTGTACAGCACATGTACGCCTTTTATTCCTCTCTATCCTCCTTAACCTTAGTTAGCCCATGACCTTTTTTGTACCTCCTTCTCTAGCTTCTCTTCTGCCGTAAAATAAAGTACATGTATTTCTGTTCTTCTCTGTCCTCCCAAACCTTAGTTATAACTGCTGTCCCTCTTTGTCCTCCTTATCTATCCTCTCTAACCTTGGTTGACCAATGATCTTTGTTCCTTGTTCTCATCGTTTTCCAGCTCCAGCTTCTGTCCTGGATGGATGGATAGATCAAATATTGCCTGGGCATTGTATTTCAGTCCCTTTGTGATCCCAACCCATGTACTGCCACACCTTCAGTTCTGGCATTCCTCCTATCTTTTATTAAGCAACTATACCTCTCTACAAACTTTTAATTTATAGTTCTAATTTTGTATATCACCTTTTTTTTTTTGTTGCTCTCCCAGTTCTGACTCAACTTCCACCATTCTCTCCCCAGTACCCCACTTCGTGTTCTTTTCCCTTTAACTCACAATTTACAATAGAACTGAGGTGTTCTTTTTCTGTTTTTACAGCTAAAACAACTTGGATTTCCAGAAGTTCTAGTTGTCCAAGCCTATTTTGCCTGTGAAAAGAATGAAACATTGGCTGCTAACTTTCTACTAAACCAAGCGGATGAATGAACGTACCCAAGATGAGATTTTCTGCCAACTGTTTAATTACAAGATCTCTAATGTTCTGGATTTCCTAAATGAACATTCTATCAATATTTGAAGGTCATTTCTGTGCAGCTGGACCATCCTACTAGCATAGCTAATACTGTATATTATTATTATTAGTGATAGTAAAGCATGAATTCTGATGATGGTGTTATTATTATTATTTGCAGTTGTTCAACTTGTTAATTGTTATATTGTACCTAACCCTAGTAATAAGAATATATTAAGTGAGTTTATCTTAGTGATGTTCTTTCCAGATAATTGTTATTTCACCTCTGATATTGATACAATGTGTGGCCAATCATCCGATTTGTCTGAGTCTCTAGATTCATAGACGTGAGAGCGATAAACTATCGTGACTGATCCTAAAAAACGTCCTCCCGATTAGATAGGAGAATAATTTCACGAGTCACTTCGCTGTGGAACATTGTGGTGGAGTGTAAGATGCATCATAACATATGCATTTACGATCTGAAGTGGACTCTTTATTCAGAGTTCGAACTCAGTAATATTTCGTTGCCCTTAGAATTAAAGCTTTCATGATGATGTGGCCTTTACAAAAAATTAAAGCTAATGGTAAGGAAACGAGTGAAGAGATCTTCAAGTGGACGCAATTAAAGAACGTTGACCGGTCACAATGAACGTTTTTAGTTTGGGTTAGTAGCAATCCTGGAAGAGGAGTATAAGGGCAAGGGTTCGATATGCTTTCCTTTCTTCGTGTTCCCAAGATGGGAACAAAAGTCTGCTCTTCCCCTTATAATTCAGCTTAATAATAGATGCCTAATACATCTGTATTTGTGGTGCAGTACATTTAGTTATGCTTATCCAAAGATCGTATCACTACAGCTCTAATTGCTTGGATTAAAACGGTTCTTTAAGTTTTCCTGTCAGATGTTCTCTATCTTGCTTTTCTGGTTTATTATTATTATTATTATTGCTATTATTATAGTTATTGTTCGGCCTCGTCCNTTTTTTTTTAGAGAACTGCTTTTTGTGAAATATTTTTAAGGAAAAATCTATTATTATTATTAAGTTAATACCGAAGAGATTCAAAACTTTTCTCTCAGTTAGAGACTTTTTAAACTTGTTTTGTAATATTTATACCTTAATTATGATCATCATTATAATTATTATAAGAAGTGTGTATCCATGAGCTTTTTCTGGGATTTTTACTGGACATTTTGACGCATTTGTTTTCGATTTTTAAGCATTTCATCATAATCTTTGTAAATACTTTTAGTGATTATAGTGAATAAAGATAAAATTATCATTAAAAAAAATTATCATTATCATTAGTATTATTATTATTATTATTATTATCACTACTTTTATTTCTTACATTTTGTTCCATGGATGAGAGTGACAAATGCTAAACGTAACATTTGAAGCTTTACATTTTTACGGAAGACCCAGTTAGAATCGGGGAGGAAAGACCTTCTATGTACCTTAATTCCTCGAATAAGAGCCCGGGCACTTGTTTTAAATTTCGGCGGCTATAAGAAAGGGGTGTTTATCGAAGGGGGAGCCCCTATTGTTGTCAAAAAGGTAATAAAGTAGCAATGGAGTTGAAGAAAGTGTGAGAAGAAGTGGGCGTGCTTATTCGAGGGCGCTTGTTTGACACTATGGCCTAGGGAGTTGGCGCCTATTAGAGCGTGGGCGCTCATTCGAAGAAATACGGCATAAGCGTTTTATCATATGACCACCGTGTGTCAAAAGTGTTGTTTCAACCTAAATAGGCCGTAATTTGGTTATACCAACTCAGTTGAAATATGTAAATTGGCCACCGTAACGAATAAAAAAGCGAAGGAAGGTCGAAGGAAGGAAGGGCACGCTCTAGTACTGGTCAACTACCTAAAAGATTCTACAGAAAAATCTTTTCCTTTTTTCTTCGTATCAGAAAGATAAGCGCAGTTCATCGCGACTCGTTTTCTCATTCGTTTTGTTTTAATTTGAACTCCACAATTTTAATTCACGTTCTCTGAAAACACAAAAGAACTGTGTGGACCGGCCCCCGTCAACCCCTCCGGCCCTGCACGCGTCAACTTTCACTTTTGTTTTCTCTGGTAGTGCGCGATCGGAGCCGTATAGGTCATTTGATAGGTAAGCGGAGTTCTTCTCCCAGATTAAATTCTAGTTCATGGTTATCCCCAGCATCAAAGTTTTTGTAAGTCAGGTTAAATGCACGAGTGGAGAGAGAACACAGAGGGGAGAGAGAACACAGAGTGGAGTGAGAAACGTGTATGGTTCAGTAACGCAATACAGACCAACACAATGAATCAGCGTAGGCTTAAAAGTCATCTGTCAGAATCTGGCGAGCTCAGGCGTCACGTGTTAAAGACCACTTGCTATTAGATGAAAAACACAAGTGGGAGGACAGTAGTTAAAACTTCCCTCTTTATTTCTTCTTTTTAACCAGTTAGTGATATCTTATGTTTCGCCCTTACCACCAGTGCCTTTTGATGTACGGTAACTCGTTTTCGAGTTCCTCTACATTAGCACTGGCCAATTTTGTTACAGACGCTCTTGCAGTTTCCCATAAATGTTGAGTACTAATACATTTCTTATTTAAAATTACTTTTGTACAGTTACTTTCGTACAATTATTATCTTCATAGTAAATAAATATATAACTAATCAATAATGCATCATTTATAAACGTTTCTCTTTCGCACGCGGCGTTTCATCCAATACTGTGTTAAAACGGTCGAAAGTGTCCTATGGTCTCTTAAAGAAGCGTTAAGAATTGCTTTCCTCCTCAACTAACTCGCAGACCTTTTTGAGCACTCTTTTGCAATAACGAAGTCTTTCTATCAATTCTGAAGCACACCCTTGTTTGTTTATATCAGACATAACATAAGTTGTCCCCTCTCGCTGCTTGTCAATGTAAATCACTAACACGTCAATAGGTCCAGGTATAAGAGCGATTTTTGTGTGATCATTGAAAAAGTTCACCTGTTAAGAAATTGAAAATTACTCTATTAAATTTCACTTTAACAGTTTAAACTGTGTAGCTTATAACGTGCAACAATCATTAAAACTCAATTCAACTCGCAAGGAAACCCAATTACGTGAAAGGCGCTAAGAAGGGCGAATAAAAAATCATGTTTGGCCAATTTTCAAACTGAGCTTCTAACGCTCTTGTTGGCAGGGGATCCGAAATTATTCAGTCGAATGAAGGGCGCTTTTTACCTATAGTTGCCAACTATTTCTTATAGTAATTTCTCTCTTCGATCATCTCTCGAAGGCTTGGAAAGAAGGAAAAAGTTTGAGCCAATGATAGGGACGATCATCTATCTATCTATCTATGCACGCTGATATAAGCGGTGTACAATGTTTTACATTTTCTTTTCTGTCTTATTGCACAGTTTAATGATGGGGAAAAGGAGGTGACACTCATTATGGCCTCTATGTTAGTATTTCGATATCTTTGTAATGCTTAGAAAAACGAACAAATAAAGTATACATACCTGTAGGGTTCCGTTGCTAAGATACATCACCATGGTAATGTCTGTGCGAAACCAGATGTCAATAAACGGAAAGCTTGGTTGGTCAGCGGATGTGAATGTCTTGGAATCGCCTCCCTGTTGGTTGAAAGTGTTTTTCGTCTTTTTAACAAAATAAAATGGAGATGAGTGTATGCTTCTGTTGTTGGTTTTACCTTACATATTTGACATGTTGTATCTCCCCAAAAAGTACTCCAATCATGAACAGTATATATTTTCTTAGACTATCCACGACATCTACTCATACTCATTTGCACTTCTAATCAGAGAGACACGCCTTAAGAATAGAGTATCTCGGTGTATGCGGTGTTCCCCGAACCATACCTTCAACAGATGTTTTTCCATGTAGTTCCCAAAGAAAGTGAGCAACATGAACTTAGCCTGTAAGTTCTTTGGCACTGCGGTGGACCGAAACGGACATATGTTGTTTACTTGATCGCAATAGTGAACAAAACTGTCAGATAAAGGCGTAAGAAAGGTCAGCAAATTAAAGAGAAGCACAATACAATGACTGACTGGCTTTTTGATTAAGTACTGCGCATCCGGCTACCTGACTGACTCACTGGCTACTTCATTAACTGCACATAATGCCTGTCCAGCTGCCTGACTAACTGACTGACAGCTTCATTAGTTGACAGGCAGACAGTCAGATAGTCAGTCGGTCAATCGATCAATCAATCAATCAATAATCTTTATTTATACACGATAAGTATTTAAAGAGACACTTCGCTTGTGGGGTCGTGTCTAAATAATTAAGTAAGATAACTAATGAATTAGAGAATAAATAGGATATACACCAGCTAAAATCATATCGCTACTTACTACCGTTACAAGTCTAAAACGATAAAAGCTTAAAATTCTAAAAAACAAGGTGGTACTCTAATATCGTCTAATTATCAACACTAATTATACTTAAAATCTTCCTCCCTTCTGGTTAATGTTTGAGGGGAGATACAGTCGAAATCAAGGTGTAGCAAAGCCTTAGATCGTCTAGCCATAATCGCATATTTCTTAACATTGTCTATATCGTCATTAAGTTGAGGAACCAACGACGGTGTTCCAAACTATTGCTCCTCTACGAGCTACAGAGGTCCTCATGTAGTAGGTGTTAAAAAGAAGGATTTTCAGTTTCTTCCTAACTTGTTTTAAGTTGTTTCTTCCTAAGTTGATATCGCTTGATGTTATCATTGTTCTTAATAATAGCTGACACAGCGTCTGGAGTCAGGTTATTATGGATTTTATACATAAGCTTAGCTAAGCTAATTTTATACGTAAAGGCTAAAGGGGACCAGTTAGCCTTTTTCATAACATCAGCATTAGACATCTCCCAAGGTAGCTCAAAGATAATTCTCGCAGCTCTACAATGAAGTGCTTCTAATGCCTTAAAACCCTCCTTATTTCTGAGACCTCCCCATACTGATATTCCATATACGATCGACGGCATAATAACTCTAAAATACAAGTCTAATAACATATTCTTTGGAAGAAATTTGCTACGTTTTAACAAGTTTAACTTATCAACAAAGCCTTTTTTAAAAACGCTAACATGTTTAGACCAATTTAGTTGATCATCTATCAATACGCCTAATAGACATGTGTAACCCATTTGATGGTGCGCTGGACCAACGTTAACTCTTGAGCGTTAACTCGGTGGATAGTCATTCGCTCTGACGAAGGGCTAACCCTCGAAACGCCAGCTTCTAAA